TTGCGAATCTCGGGGTGGGTGATGGTGTTGAGCAGCCGCCGTAGATCAGCCTGCTTAAAGATCAGGTCTCCCAGAACCTTGCGGTTGATTTCACCATTCTCCAGCAACACTCCTGGACCGAAGGCCTCCACGATGCGCTGGTGGGCGGGGTATCCTGGCTGGACCACATACCGGGCACTCTTGTCCATGTCAATCACTGCACAGCCCAGCTGCTGGAACACCTGGGCCACAGAGCTCTTGCCCGAGGCAATGCCCCCTGTCAGACCCACCAGGAACATCTTGGCCAGGAAAGAGGGAGGTCAGAACACAGGGTACCAGGAGCCCGGGAGTCACGGGAGAAGAAGGCTAGAAGGACCAGTGCCCTCTGACCAGGCCCGGGACGCCGGCGCTCGCTCAATCTCGGTAGCACTTACTGGATGACTCTGGACAGGAGAGGCAAGGCCTCCTGTCCTGTTCATTTTTACACTACAGGAGTTGAGTGCATTAACTTCAGCTTTACCAGGAATCTGGAAAGTACCAGAAAGTTTCATTGCCAGTAGGACTCTGAGCTTTTCAGGATGAAGAGGGACTTAAAAAAGGGGAAAAAAGATGAATGGATGAGGCAGTTTGCAGCAAAGGTTGAAGAGTTCTCAAAAACACTGGGCAAACAACTCAGATTTTCCTATCTGTTCTTCAGCATATCGTCAGATCTGTTTAACTATATTAGATAAAGAGACTTCTAGCAACCAACCCAGATGCTGCTTTGGGACCTTACTATCAGAAACCAGCCCCAGGCAAAAGCTACCCTGGATTCTGTGATGAATATTTTTGGATGTGTGAAATTAAGTATATTTGTTCCCCTGTCTCTGTGTTGCCAGTAAGCTTTGTTGAATGATGGAAATGTGGGATGGATGAAAAGAAACGTAAGTGATAAAGAAAGGCCACAGGGCAGCATTCTCAGCACTTGGGTAAGGCCCAGTATAAAACTCCAGAATGAGCTTCTAAACGAGTGAGTCCCAGAGTAATTAAATTAAACAGTTACCCAAACTGGATTATGGATAACTGTTGAGAAGATTACGTTGAGAATAACTCGAATAACTCTTTGTTTCTGCTCCTGTAGTACCAAGTGGGGCAGCTATATTCTGTGGCTGAGGCCAGTAAGAATGAAACAGGTGGTGGCGAAGGTGTGGAAGTTCTGGTGAATGAGCCCTATGAGAAGGATGGCGAGAAAGGCCAGTACACACACAAGATCTACCACTTACAGAGGTATGTCACTCTGGCAGCAGCGCTCAAAGGTGGCCTGGTTTGAAGTGGAGATAGCGGATAATTAGGGCTACTTCCAGGTTATTATCTGGTTGCTCAAGTTATTTTACCTGTGAGAGTGGGTGTAGGTAGTAGTACTATGTTAGTTTTGTTTTATTATTTTAAATTATAAAAGTAATACATGCCCCACCAGGCTGCCAGTACTCAAAGGTCATGGGGATTGGGTGTTTTTTTTTTTTAATTTTTATTGTATTATTTTTATGTGTACTGTCAAATCAGATCTTACTGGTACAGGAGGAAATTGCTCCCTCCTTCTCCAGCAGAGCATCTGGTGGATTTGAACCGCATACCTCTGGGTTGCAGTGCTGCGTCTTGCCACTAGGCCACCAGAGCTCCCGGGGATTGGTATTTTATGGATCTTTCCATTGCCTGTGCATACACATATACACACATAAATAAATGTGTATATCAGTACATGTCAATTTCCTTTATTAAAATTTTTCATAGATGGAATCATACTATTCTTTTACTTGCTATTTTGTTCCTTTTCATATTAATAGTTTTTAACTATCAATATATCTCCCTCCTCATACACATAGTATTTTAATATTCCTTTTCAGATGTTTACAAATTGTACTGGAGTAAAAATCCTTTTGCATAAATCTTGATAAATTTGTGTCAATCTGTAGTAAGTGTATCTTTTTAAAATTCTGGTAGATACAATGAATCAGCTATAAGAGAGAGATTAGTAATTTTCTTTGGTTCAAATGCCTAAGTAATTCAGACAAAGCTTGAACTGATTTGTATACCAAAATCTGTAGCAAACCACACAAACTTACTGAATCTAACCAAAATAGTAGTATCTCAGTCAGTTAGGAATTGACTCCTACGGATTTTGAAAGCAGCAAAACCAAGCTAGTTTAAAAATTATCCAGACCTGAACAGCATAAACTTGACTCTTAATTACTGGTCACTAAATTGAACTAAAAAATAGAGAGCTCTGGTGGTCTAGTGGTAAGAAGCTACACTTCAATCCCCAAAGCGCATGGTTTGAATCCACCAACTGCTTTGCTAGAGAAGGATGGGTAATCTCCTCCCATGGCAGTTTACTACCTCTGTAAATCAGCTGGAGGGTCAGCTCTGAGTCGATTCCGACTTGGTGGCACACAACAACAACAACAAATTGAACTAAAACCACTTTTATTCTCATGTGGTGAAATTCCTGATGTAATGCAGTTTGCTGCTCTGGTGATGTAAAATGTTAACCCAGAGGTGTCCAGCTTTTGTGACTGCAGGAGTCAGGGGAAAGCAGCACTCTGTGGTGGAGGAAGCAGCACTGTGTGTGGAGGAGGAATCTCTTCCTTGTCAGTGCACTCTTTCTCTATTCTTCCCCCTCCATCCCACCTCTGAGTTGACTGACAGTCCTGACTGAGGAATTAATAGTTGATTAAGATTAACATGCCATTCACAATATGCCTTCCCCACAGTGTATTTGTATGTTAGAAAGAGATAATTTCTCAAGAGTCAGTTATCCAGTCAAAGTGGCAAAGAATGTGCTTTGTGGCCTATCTTTGTACTCTATCTTTCTTAGAAGAGAGGGTGTGAACTTTGAACAGATTCCCCAACTCCAACTCTTTCTTAAACACCAAAAACCCTAACTGTAAGAGGAGAAAAGCCTGCAGTGCTGTGACTGTCACAGCCACCTCTTTGTAAGGACAAAGATTTAATGTGGTTGTCATCGTGCTGCCCAAATCAAAAACAGGGCACCTCACCACTTTGTTTTTCCTCAGGTAAAGTCAAATGATAGTGATTCCATCTCCCTGCTATTTCTGATATTCCCATTTCTCTCCATCAGTTCTTGCATAGATTACTGCTGTTAGGCGCCATCAAGTCAGCTATGACTCAGAGTGACCCTATGAACAACAAATCTGAACTTTGGCGCTTTCCTGTGCCATCATCACAATCTCCTTCATGCCCAAGCCCATTATTGTAGTCATTTTCTGTCCATCTCATTGAGGGTCTTCCTCTTTTGCTCTTTACTTTTCACAGCTTTATGCATTCTATTTCATTTTTTACAACTTCTAGTTTTCTTACATTCATACTTTATATGTCCCGTGTTCCAGTTACTAATGGATATTTGCAGCTGTTTTATCTTGAGTTTTAACATTTCAGCAAATGAAGGTCTGAAAGCTTTTCTCCATTCATGTCATTGCAATAGACTTGACTTTGAGGAGGCAGCTTTTCCTCAGTAGTATTTTGAGTGCCTTTCAACCTGAGAGGCCCATCTGCCAGTATCAGTGTTCTTCCATTAACCATAGGTTTTTCCATGGTCTGCTATTTCAGAAGGAAAGGGCCAGTCTTGCTTCCTAATCTGGAAGCACTGTTGAAACCTGTCCACCATGGGTGACCCTGTTGATATTTGAAATACCAGTGACATGGCATACAGCATCACAGCAACACAAAAGCCACCAGAGTATGGCAAAGTGATAGACAAATGGTGGATCACTGTAGCAGCTCTTAATCGGTCTCCCTTCCACTCAGCTTCACAGGCTCTGGCTAGAAGACAGAGATATCATTCCCCAGCACAAGAGCCATAGATGGCTTTCCTTGGCCCTCATGTTACAGTACATACTCTGTCATTACATACCAGATCATCTTTGACTTCCTCTCTCTTGGTGTGTGCTCTTGCCATTCTCTGTCTCCCACCCGACCCTGAACTGAACTTCTCCGATCCTTTGTCTTATTTATTCTACACTTATTTCCTGAGGAGCTTCCACAGTCTGCCACACTTCCCCCCATGCTCTCAAGATGTACTGTTCACCTCTCCTGGCACACACTTACAGCATGTGCCTGGTTAGTTGTACTCTCACTAGACTGTAAAGTCCTTGAGGGCAATGCCATATATGTTCGTTTTCTGTATGTATCCTGGTATCCCGAATGTATAGACATACCCACTTGAATGAATGTTGAGTGACTGAACATTGAATGACTAAATCGCTGAGGAGATGCTCTGAATGGGCTCTTATTGGGGTTATACTCTCTTCTTTGGCTTGATGAGACAGCTGATGAGACAGATGGTTAGAATCTGCTAAAGCCTATATAAGTTGCCATTTAAAAATCAAGTGTGCGGAATATATGTTCTTTCATTACACCTCTTAATGTACATTTAGTTTTGTAACCTGAGGTATGAAGAGTAGAAAATATTTTTTCCTAGAAGGCATCTGGCTCTCATGTCCCCTGATTTCACCAAACATATGAAAGCAGATCAGATCATCTTGTGTCCCACTTAGCCAGTCACGCCAGTCTGTAAACCTATATTGGTATTTTTCTTGGAGATATCTTTTTTATTTATCCTTCTGTGGGAGCCAGAGCAGGTAGCCTGGAGGTCTTGGTTCTTAGAAGCTGGTAGGATGTGTGGGTGGATGTTACTAAACTACTGAGCTAGGATGTGAGGCTCTGACTAGTGAGCCTTTACATCCCAGACTAACCTGCCTAAATTATGCTGAGTGACAGAAATTTGTCACAGAAGGAAAGTTATGGTATAAGAGCACTATTATTATAATAAAAGACTGAGGGCATGTGAACACACACATAGAATGGACAAAGAGGGGAGTAAGGATAGAGAAGCTGAGTGAAGGGAAAGACAATATATAATGAAGGATTAATTATACATTATACTTAATTAGTTCCATTTATCAGTTGTAATTAGTGTTATAAAACAAAATGTGTATGAATGAATGATTGATTGAAAAATTAATAGGATTTTTAAACCTTCACACAGTAAAAATTTTTTAATGAAAAGTACATATAAAGAAGAAAAAGAGTAACCTGCTTATATCGTGGAAGCTTGCTAACGCTTCATGGAAGAAGTTAGAATTATGGCCTAAAGAGTGTGATAGAAAAAAGCCTATTGTTATCTTCTGCTCTTCTCCATTTCTCTTTATAACTCCTTTTTCTCACTATAGCAAGGTGCCGACGTTTGTTCGAATGCTGGCCCCAGAGGGAGCCCTGAATATACATGAAAAAGCATGGAATGCTTATCCCTACTGCAGAACTGGTGAGTGCAGACCTGAGTAGAAGCTAGAGATTGGGACTCCACATGAACCAGAAGTGTAGTTAAGAATGTCGGGGGCTGGGTGATTCAGGACTTTGGGTTCCATATTCTTTCTAGAGTAAGTCTAGGGAGCTCTGGTGGCCTTAGTGCTCTCCCATCAGGCCAGTTGTGTTACTGTCCACAGCAGAGCTGGCAGCCACCTGAATGGGCACTATCATGTTGTCATGGCCTAAGGTAGCCTAGAACCCCTCTTATTTGGGAATAGTGTGATCATTTGAAGTGTGTTTGCTGATTGCAAAAGTAATGTTCTCTGCTTGCAATTTACAAATATATAAAAATAGAAAAGAATAATCAGAAATTCTTCCACTAAGATTTATTGCATTTTTATGTAGTCTTTTTCTGTATGTGTGCATATATATAGTTATATACATTTTTAAGACAAAATTGAAATCATACTAAATTACTCATTTTTATTCAGGAGAGAACATTTTCTATGTCACTAGGTAGGTTTGGTTGTTTTGGTGTGTTTTTTTTAATTAATAGCTACATATATCCATTGTTAATTTGTTGTGGTCTTTTTAAAACAGTTCCCCCAGTAGATAGGAATATTTCTGTGTTAGTATGTTCTGTTCGTGTTTGGGTTGAAGAGCAGTGCTGAGATCCAGGGACTCTTGAGAGGCAGCCATAAGAAAAGCCTGTGGGGTGACCTTCTGGCCTGGAAAAGGCCAGACCTTCTGGCCTGGAAAAGGCTAGACCTGAACAAGAGAAAGCAGCTGTTGTTGAGGAAAGTTGAAATATGACAATTTTTAAGACAAAGGATCATAGTTATTCCCAAATATATCACGTGTGTGCGCTTGCGCAAAATATTGAGCATGGCATGTTCTTAAGGAGTAAAGCCCGTAGGACTCCTGAGAGCTCTGAGCCCAGGCTTACACTGAACGGGCATTGTTCAAGAGTTGTAGGGTGTGGAGGGTAGAATTAATTTCTTAATCCTGGCCAATTTTTTACATTGATTTTCTGAAAAGAAAAGGAAAGATTTGAGTTTCTGTGTAGAATTTTTGTTCTAGTCTAGACATTCTGGAGCCTGTTTGATTAGTTCAGATTTCCTAGCTCTCTAAGATTCCTAGATCTCAAAGGCACCTAGGAGTAGATGTCAGTCTGATTGATCCATGTCTCAGAGGGGTCCTTGGAGGTCCTCTGGAACTTGACTGTTAGGAGGGACTGGTTTTCCAGCAACCTCCATTCTGCTTACTTGTATTATTTCATTAATTGGGATGTGACGTTACCAAGAGCCCTAGTGGTGCAGTGGTTTATGAATCTGCTGCTAACAAGAAGTTGGTGGTTTGAACCTGTCAGCCACAGGAAAAAAAATGCTTCTTTAAAGATGTATGATCTAGGCAACTATATGGGGCAGTCCTGCTCTGTCTTGTCGAGTCACTGAGAATTGGGCTCAGTTAGGATGGTTTATTTTGGTTTGGCACTCCTTTAATTGGCACAGTCTGTAGCATGTTACACTGCTAACCAAAAGGCATTGATTGCATCCCCAGTAGTTAGTATCTACCAATGCCTTTGTCAGAGAAATATGGATGGTCTCTTACTTTTCAGATTTACAGCCTAGGAAACCCAGGAGGGCGTTGCTGTCAGGGCTTTTTGTTTTGTTTTTGTGATGGCACCTGATGGAAATGCTCTACCTATATGATCCTTATCCTGTGGACTTTAGGAATGACTGACGTCTAGAACACAAGGCTCTTTCCTGTCCTTCATGGCCACACAAAGGTTCCTTGACTCTGGAGATGAACAGTCATTGGTAGGCCCTGGGGAAGGAGTGTGTTTTATTGCTGTAGTTAAAAAGGCAAACACCACTACTTCTTAAGCATCAGGCAGGAAATGTTAAATTCTTAGAAACAAGGCGTGTGCACCCTTTCTTAATAGTGTGTCATTTGTCTAGGTGTGTCTAATCTAAGGCCAAAGGTGAATTTTCTTGATGTCTAAGAGGAGTGTGTACTGAGCATGCGTTGTAAGAACCTTAGCCAGCTTGGCATAGAGGAGGCAAACAGATAGGGTGAACGTCTCCATTCCTGGGGCAGGGCTCTGGGTGCAGACCTTGTGCCAACTGAGATGCCACTTTTCTCTGGGTAGTCCTGGGGAGAAGAGAGTGTGCCACTGTTGACCTGGGCTTTTTTTTACACAGCAAATACTATTTCACATTGTCCTGACCCTTCACCTAAAAAAAAATTATTATACTTTCTACATAGTCCATGAAGAAAAGATACAGAAAAGTTTGATTTTGTAAGTGAATGTTGAGCTCTCAGTCTGAGCCCCGCTTCATATGAAGGAATATGTTGAATTTTAGATCTTCTCAGTTAGACGCTGCCCTTTTATTAAAATAAGATAGAAACAGGCCTGGGGCGAGCTCTGGTGGCCTAGTGGCAAGAAGCTGCACTGCAGTCCCAGAGGTGTGCGGTTCAAATCTACCAGATGCTTTGCTGGAAAAGGAGGAACCATCTCCTCCTGTACCAGTCAGATCTGATTTGACGGTACACTCACACAAAAATAATAAAATAAAAATTGGAAAAAAAAATTCATTCATCCAGTCATTGCATAGCAGACAATTAGCACCTTCTGCTAAGGCTAATGGGAAAACTTAGAAATGGAATCTAACCTTAGATTGAGGAACCTAATTAATGTCACTGAATTGTACATGTAAAGAATATTACATGGCAAATATTTTGTTGCTTTAACCACTCATCCATTCGTTCAGATAATTTCACGTGTGATTCTTGACCAACAGGAATCTCATGTCTGAAGCTTTGGAAATAGCAGTTTCTAGATATCTGTTTTGAATGCTTGCTGCTGACAAAATCTACTCTGCATTCCACCTTCTTTCACAGGTGCATAAATTGGAGCCTGAGACATGGAAGCATGTGGAAGCAGTATATATAGACATTGCAGATAGAAGCCAAGTACTTAGCAAGGTAGGAACTATTTAAAGACGTACGGTGAAGTTTGAGATGCAGAAATGGCTTCAGAGTATTAGACAAGCCACAGAACCATACCTTACTTTGCCTCCAAAGGAAGTTCTCTCTGATGTTCACTATTTTGTTTTCTTTTTAAAAACCGTGTTTGGTAAGTTTGCAAAATTTCCTTATCCTGAGTTACCAGTGAGTCTTGCCAACTCCCGGCAATGTCATGTGCTGTAGAGCAGAGCTGCACCATGTGCCTTCTTGCCTCTAATCTTTATGGAAGTAGATCATCAGGCCTTTCTTCCGTGGCACTGCTGCATAGGCTCGGATCACCAGCCTTCCGATTAGCGTCTCAGACAAACTTGGAATCTTGAGTCAGGAATACAGTAGGAAAACATCCTGCCCCATCCTCACAGTCTCTCCCATGTTCAAGCCTACTGAAGCTAGAAAGGAGTTCCTCACATTGATGTGTTTTCTTTGGCCTCGGGATCTGAACTGTATAGATACTGTGGTAGTGCTTAAGAGTATTTTGTCCTGTTACAGTAATACCCTGAAAAATAAAAACTCCATTCTCAAATACAAATATTATATAAAATACAAATATTGTATAAAACCATTATTGTAGAATAAGTATAAGGACCCAAGAGGGGTGGTAGAGGCTGGAAGCAGAGAGATGTGGATGTGCAGGGGGAGGAGGGATTAATTATCGGGTTGTACAATTTGAGGGCTGAGGGGGTAAGGAAAATTGAAAGAATTTGTTCAAATTTATATTGGAATTTTTTAAATAAACTAGTAGAAAATTTTTAAAAAAGAGATAAACAAAAAATTTTTTTTCTATTTAGTAATTAAAAGCCATTTATTACCTATCTGCTCTGCTTAGAATGCTCCTCTTGTCCTGGTGCCTACAGGCCAAATGAGGTCTGCAGAGTGCACGAAAAGACATGATTTTTGACCTCAAGTTGTTGGTAGCTTTTCAGTAACAAACATTGCAGTGGGTGCTTGAGAAAGGACAGGCCAGTGCTGCACTTTGAGCTCAGAGAAAACAAGAACTACATATGTCTTGCTCAGTGTTGGGTTCTTGGGAATGAAAAGATTAGATTTTCTTTGAGTCGTCGCTATTCTAATTTAACAGATTGGGGATTAGGATTAATTAAAAACTCAAATTTATTGCCTTGAATTCCAACTTTTGGCAGTCCTCCATCCCTTTTCCAAACCTGTAAATCACAGAGTCTGACTGTGTCAAAATTTCCTGGAGGAAATTTCATTCTAGTGACCTGGTTAGTAGGGAGTTGCACTGTCATCCCAATGAGTTAGTTCAAATCTGCCAGCTGCTTCATGAGGAAAGATGGGCATTCTCCTTTCGTGTGATTTTCAGCTTCAGTACTGGCTGGAGGGTCAGCTGTGAGTTGGTTCTGAATCAATGGCAATGCATAAGTCACCAGCAGATTCTTACCAAGTTTGAGGTGGGCTCACAAATCTATTTTGAAAAGGCCCTCCCTGGATATGCACTCCTGTCTTAAGCAGTGGAAATATGTGCTGACTCAGATGCTTACATACTTGTTAAAATTTGGAAGCAAACCCTGACTGAGAAAAGAACACAGGGCTCTCCTCTGAGGTGAATGTAAACAGTTCTATATTTTGTTTATAAGTTTTTTCCATATTTGCTGCATATCAGCTTCATACTGTTGCTGTCTGTGGTGAAAAAATTGATGTCTTTTTCTCCATTTCCCTCCCTCCCTCCTCTATTCTCTCTCCTTTCAACACACTTTCTGCCCCCTACACCACAAACCCTCAGGATTACAAGGCAGAAGAAGACCCATCAAAATTTAAATCAAGCAAAACAGGCCGAGGACCTTTGGGCCCCAATTGGAAGGTGCAGTTCACACTCTTGCCACCAGGGGACCGAGCAGGGTGTGGCGTGGGCATCTGTCCCAGGAGGAAGGGAATTGCTGGGGCTGGGCTAATAAAAAGGTCAGTTAGGTTGGCTTTGTTAACTTACTTGCCTGCTTGTGGGTGTGTTTCTAATGCAGCAAGAACTTGTAAATCAGAAAGACTGCCCATACATGTGTGCATACAAACTGGTTACTGTCAAGTTCAAGTGGTGGGGCCTGCAGAACAAAGTGGAAAACTTTATACATAAGGTAAGTAACCAGATTTCCCAGTGACCTCTGTGTGTGTTTGAGGGGAGGAGTGGGGTTTGTCCATCAGTAGAAGTTCATACAAGTGCCTCATGCTCTCATGACCTGCATTGCAGGATTGAACATTAGCATATTTTATAGTTTATGATCCAGTAGGGGATATGACATGTGACAGGGAAGGAAACTGAGGCAAAAGACGGAAATAGGGGTTTGCTTTATTGAACTACAATAAGATGTACTTTCTCTTTTCTTGAAGCTACAAGTCACTAGACACTGAGCCAAATTCTTCAGTGCCTGAACTACTAAAGTAGGCAGACTGAAGGAGTTTTTGTAGCCTTTTAACTCTCAGATATGTTGGAGCTTTTCTCTACTGTTACCAGTTTTAGCCTTAGTTTTAATCCCCAGAGACAAGGAGGAAAAACATGATAGAGTTGTTTGGAGAGCTTACGCTTGGCTCTTAGGCTTCCATTTTGGATAGTAGTTTAAGCTCTAAGGCACCCATCTTCTTTGGGGGTTTCTGCTTGAATCCATACTTGTCAGACATATGAAAGTAAAGGGGGAAAGGTCACTGAGTGTCTTTCAGGGATTGGGGACTGATTCACGTAAGCAGGTATCACTCCTCTGCCTCCCCAGTGAAGTGTGTGGGTCTGCGCAGAGCTCACAGGGAGGCGGCTGCAGCAGAGGCCTTCACCTTGAGCTCTTACTTGGTGTCCTCCTTTTTATAGCAAGAGAAGCGTCTGTTTACAAACTTCCACAGGCAGCTGTTCTGTTGGCTTGATAAATGGGTTGACCTGACTATGGATGACATTCGAAGGATGGAAGAAGAGACGAAGAAACAGCTGGATGAGGTAAGTGGGATTCCAGAGGAGTCTGGCTCAGGACTCTTAAGTAGATAAGTGATCGTAAAGAGACTGTCTTGCTGGGGCAATTTACTGAGGGCACTAACCTGTGGTTCTAGGAACAGGTCAGTATCTCCTCTGGGTAAGGTACAATGCCACACCATATGGGAACCATAAAGAAAGCAACCTGTGCTCTTGAATTTGCAATCTTGCTGAGGTCATGACACATCCACAGAGACAAATATGGAGGTCTGTGCTGAATGCCAGATGAGTGAGTGAGTTGATGCAGTGGTTGTTCAGAGCGCAGGGGTTCATGCTGGGACACAGAGTTGGAGGTGACCCCAGGAAAAGGCAATCTGGACTGATCCAGGAATGCCAGGCACATTACACAAAAAGGATGCAAGAGCACATGCAGAAGCCGACTACTCTATAAGATTGTTTAAAACTATTTTTAGAGTTTGGAACTTTTGCCCTTTTTTTTGGCCTTGGCATGGATCCCAGAAGAAGGGTGATCTGTTCCATGGGAGCACAGAGACCCACCACTCTGCTGCTTCTCGAAAGGTTTCGCTGAGAGGCACATTCTGTGTTGGAGTACTCACTATATGCTGGGCCAGCCATTATGGGCTTTTTCACACACCTTCTCAATTAGTCCTGGCAAAAACTCCTAGGGAAGGCATCATTGTTATTCCCACATTCAGAGGAGGAATGGGAACTCTGAGAGCTCAGGACTGTACCCAGGGTCACAAAGCCTGTAGGTCACTCAGCTTACATTCTCTTACATGCTGTTTTAAGGCTGTTCAGGCTTAGGACTAAAATAAGGCAGGAAGCTCTTTCCTAAGAACTGCCATCCACTTTTCCTTTCTTCTCCATTTGTGAGTTGGCGTGGAGCCTGGGCATCCAACAGAGGTATCATTTTACAGCAGCCTTGCTCCACTCTCCAGCAGGGCCTCAGGTAAGAGCCAAGCCCAGCTGCCCTTGGAGCCCTGTGCTACACAGATGCTCCCTACTTCGTTTACTGGTTGAGAGTGGATACTGGGTCCAGCGGTGTGTTCTCCTCAAGCCCAGCAGGTAGTTGTTTTGCCATCCAGGGATGACACTTCTTGGCTGACTCACTGGTTAAGTGGCGCACTGACTTGGTTCCTGTGGCAGCAGATGTTTTGGTTATTCACGCAGCTCCATTTGGCAGTGAAGTGTCAGGATTTTGGAAACAATCCCTCACTCATCTGCTAAGGATGAAAATTCTAGAAATATCCAGGATCCTCAGTAATGTCCAGGGCTCTGGTAGGTCTGAATGTAGAATTGAGAAATACTTGAGCCTTTTGGTCACTCCAATTTGACAAAAAAGGCAGGAAAAAAGGTTACCAGATGGAGGATCATAAAGTCAAAGAGTTGGGTTTGTTGGTTGTTGTTTTTTTAATTAATAACTTTTTGTTATTATTCATTTACATTGTGTTTAATGCATCTGAAGTCAAAGGGTTTGACCCAGAGCTTTAGCCATCCACTGCCTGAGAAAGGACTGCATACAATACACTGGGGCTCAAGGAGATTCCTGCTAACAACCTTCTGCTCTTTGAGTAGAATTCTTGTTCTGAAATTGGAAGAACTCTCTAGAGAACCTGCTGGCTCTGCCTTACTCACATCCACAGTTTGAAAGCGTGCATAGTTTAGAGTTCTTTTTAAATTACCATCCCCCCCCTCAACATTTTTTCCATGTGAAGGATTGTGTCAAAAGCTTAACTAATTGCTATCCTCTGAAATAGCTGCAAATGCAGGAAATCTCTTTGGAAATGGAATTTTAAAATAATCTGTAGTGGAAAAGAAAAGCCAAATCAAACCCATGTCATTATACAACATGCTCTGACCTCTTTAGCAATGGGACAGGGGCTGTACCCCTGGTTCATTTGTCTTGTTTTTTATTTCCTTCTGAAGATATACTTATTTTATGAAAGTTTAAAGCTCAGGATTCCAATTATGAGGAAGCAGCATTCCTTATCTGCCCTGCAGTTCTTAGAGTTGTCTCGTTTGTTTGGTTTCTTCCAGGTTTTTTAATAAAATGCTTATGCTCAGTTCTTAGTCTCTCCTCTGCTGGTGGTAACTGTGGGATTCTTCCTTTAAAAGATTTCGCTTTTTTACCACATTCATCACATGCACACTTGCCCTCTTGGTCTGGCTATATCACCATTTCTGGTTAATCCATTATTCAGCATTTCTATTATTACGACTTTTTGTCATCTTTTCCCCCAACTGAGCCAAGTAGTCTGCTTTAACTTTTGTTCCTTTCTTACAGTTTTTTTTCTTTAGGTAGAAATTGGCCCTCGGCTCTTGGCTGGATGCTGCTGTGTCAGCACGTGGAAGCCTGGGTTCAAACTCGAAATAAACTTTGTTAATTCGGAAAAAAAAAAAAGAAATTGGCCCTCATAACTTGACCTTCTAATTTTCTTTCTTTCTAATCTCTACTTTCTGGAAGAAATTTTATAAAGTTAACTTGAAAAAGTAAGCTTTCTTTTACTGAGCTTATAGAATTCTGAGCATTTCTTTGGGTGTTCCTTTGGCTTAGTCTTTAAGCACTGCTAACCCAAAGGCCAAGGTGGATGTCAGATGAGACTCTGAATATTGCATTAGAGCACCGAGAAGCCAAAGCTAAAGGAAGAAACCAAGAAATCAAAGAGCTAAACAGAAAATTTCAAAAGGCAACCCGGGATGACAAAGCAAAATATATAATGAAATGTTCAGAGAGCCGGAGTCAGAAAATCAAAAGGGCTGAACTCGCTCAGCGTTTCTTAAGCTGAAGGAGCTGAAAAACAAATTTAAGCCACGGGTGGCAATACTTAAGAATGCTTTGGGCAGAATATTAAATGATGCAGGAAGTATCAAGAGAAGATGAAAGGAATACACAGAGTCACTGTATCAGAAGGAATTGGCTGACACAGAAGAATTTCGTGAAATGACATATGAGCAAGAGCCTATGGTGATGAAAGAGGAAGTTCAAATTGCTCTGAAGGAATTGGCCAAAAACAAGGCTCCAGGAGTTGACGGCATAACAATTGACATATTTCAACAAACACACACTGGCCTGGATATGCTCACTAAGTTGTGCCAAGAAATCTGGAGAACAGCCAGCTGGCCCACTGATTGGAAAAGATCGATATTTGTTCCCATTCCAAAGAAAGGTGACCCAGCAGAGTGTGGAAATTATCGAACAATATCATTGATATCACATGCAGGCAAGATTCTGCTGAAAATTATCCAAAAATGTTTGGAACAATATGTCAACAGAGAACTGCTAGATGTACAGGCTGGATTTAGAAGAAGTCGTGGTACTAGGGATATTATAGCTAATGTTAGATGGATCTTAGCAGAAAGCAAAGAATACCAGAAGAGTGTCTGTCTGTGCTTCATTGACTATGCAAAGGTTTTTGACTGTGTGGATCACAATAAGCTGTGGCTGACTCTGAGAAGAATAGGAATCCCAGAACATTTGATTGTGCTAATGCGAAATGTATAATTGGACAAAGAGACAGTTGTCAGAACAGAGCAAGGAGACACTACATGGTTCAGAATCAAGAAGGGGGTCCGTCAGGGATGTATTCTGTCTCCATACCATTTCAATCTGTATGCAGAGCAGATCATCCGAGATGCTGGGCTATACGAAGAGGAATGTGGCATCAGGATTGGTGGAAGAATCATCAACAACCTGCGTTATACAGACGACACAACCCTGCTTGCTAAAACTGAGGAAGACCTGAAGCGCTTGCTGCAGAAGATCAAGGACTACAGCCTCCTATATGGACTGAAGCTCAACATCAAGAAAACAAAGATTCTAAGGGAAGCTCTGGTGGCCTAGTGGCAAGGAGCTGCAACTACAATCCCAGAGGCGCACGGTTCGAATCCACCAGATGCTCTGCCGGGGAAGGAGGGACAATCTCCTCCTGTACCAGTCAGATCTGATTTGATGGTACACTCACACAAAAATAATAAAATTTAAAAAAAAAAAAGATTCTAACCACTGGGCCAATTGGCAGCATCAGTATGGATGGTGAAGAGATTGAGATTGTTAACAGTTTTAATTTACTTGGCTCCACAGTCAACACTCTTGGTAACAGCAGCCAGGAAATCAAGAGATGAATTACATTGGAAAAGTCGGCTATGAGGGACCTCTCAAGAGTACTGAAGAGCAACAATGTCAGACTGGAGACTAAGGTGCGCCTGATCTAGGCTATAGTCTTTGCAGTTACATGCTATGCATTAGAGAGTTGGACAGTGAATAGGGTTGATAGAAAGAGAATTGATGCCTTTGAGCTGTGGTGCTGGAGAAGAGTGTTGAATATACCATGGACTGCTAGGAGAACAAACAGATTTGTCCTGGAGAAGGTGAAGCCAGAATGTTCCCTGGAGTCAAGGATTCTGAAGCTTTGTCTGACATATTTTGGGCGTGTTGCAAGGGGGGACTGGTCCTTGGAGAGGGACATCATGTTTGGCAGAGTGATGGGGCGGCAAAGGAGAGGAAGACCTTTGATGAGATGGATTGATTCTGTGACTGGAGAGGTGGGAATAAGTGCATTTGAGATGGCTAGGTTGGCACAGGTTAGAAGAACGTATAGAGCTCTTGTACATAGGGTCGCTATGAGTTGCAAGCAACTCGATGGCACATAACAACAACAACCCAAAGGCCTTGCATCTCTTGCAATTTACACACCACTGGAGGATCAGCAGTGAGTTGGTCACTTCCAATCCGACAGCAGTGAATTGAGTCTAGAACATTTGCTGAAGAACAGCAAAGATACTGTGTGTTAAAATTACATGATTAATACTCTGCAGCATTTCTTTCATGACTGTCTTTTATGGGTAATCTTTTCTGTAAGTCCTAATGCCTCTCTTCGGGCCTCTCCCCACCCTGTCCTATGACCATTTGGCTGATGAGTCATCCATTTTAGATTCTGATTCTCCCCATGTATTGAAATGTCTAGCCGGACACACACACTTGACAGTTTCTGGTTTAGGATTAGGAG